TTAATAAAAAAGAATGACATATAATTTCACTTTCATTAAAAAAGCGAAGTGAAATACAATGTCACTTTTATTACAAGAGAACTACTGATCATAAGAGAGCTACTGAATATCCCCATCCGAGTCTTGGCTTCAACAACCTTTGCCTTCCATGCCCACAAAGAATTCATATAAACAATCACATCTTTGTGCAAAAACAAATCCTCAAAAACAAGTTTCCAAGACACAATCAAGAGATCTCAAATGGAAAACTCTTGGATAAAACTACAAAGCTGCAATAGCATTAAATTGGTGGGTGAGGTTTTCTCTCTGCAAACATTGGAGTCGGTTTTCTCTCTGCAAACATTGAGATGAAATAGAAGGGATCAGGGCAAAGAAAGTGGATCAGTTACTGAATGAAACCTTAGAATTAAACCAAGTAGCCTATATACTATTCCTTACAGACAAAATTCCACTAGCCAACAACCAGTGATATTGTAAATTCTGACAGTATACCCACAGATGAAGAAACCATAGCTGAGAGACCCAAAACTCCGACTATTAATGTGTACTCCAGATGGAAAAAAGTTTTTCATCACTTCACTTGCTCCAATTATCATCCTTGACACAAGTAAAGAAAATAATGATCCAATTCCTGTTTCTAGTTCTGAAATTGATTCCCCTAGTAACTTCCATTTACCAATCGCCCTTAGAAAAGGGATTAGAGCTAGCTCGTACTCGACACGCTGTGCCAAATTTTGTGTCTATGGAGAATCTTTCACCTTATTTCCAAGAATTTCTCTCAGAAGTTCTTTCTCAGCAAACTCTCAACTGTCCGAGAAGTCTTAACCTCAAAATAGTGGAGAGGGTCCATGAACAACAAGATGAGAGCACTACAAAAATAAGACCTGGGAGATAGTCTATTTACCAGAGGAAGAAATAGATATGCCCTCCAGTGTTTTCTGATTCAAAGGACACTTCAGATTTGGGGTTTTTTTTGTGGGAGTTTGAGGTTTTGAACGTAATTAGTATGGTAATAATAGTTTTAATTAGTTTTAAGGTATTAATCAAATATTTAGGGCGTGTTTGGTCGTGTTTAAAATTCAATTAAAATTGAAAATATAGTCGTTATTTGGTCTCATTCGTCTAATAAAATTCAACAATAATGGTTAGTTTTTCAATTTTAATCCGATTTTAATCTCTACCTAACACGCCCTTAATTTTTTTAGGGTACTGTACCTAATATTCCCTAAATGCCCATTTAAAGTGATCTAATAGGAAATTTAAGTTATTGGGCTTTAGACATTTAAATAGCTAAATATGTGTAGAGCCCAAATTCATTAGGATTGTATTTAACGATTGGCCAAATACATATGAAAATATAAATAGGATTATGGTTTCCAATTCATGTGTGATTATCATTAACAATCAAGAAGAAGGAAGCGAGCCCATACTAAAGATGAAGACACTGTTTAATGCACATTATTGGGGAGAGAATATATTTTACATAGTGATTTGACGGAAAATATGTGGTTAAAAAATATGAATTTTTTTTGAATTTACGTGTAATATTATTTTATTGAAGAATGTGTGATTTAAAATGAGTTTTGAAAAAATGAATTTTTGTAAGAATGTTGATCAAACACCTGTAAAGATCAAGAAATCAAACATGAAGAGATTGCAGTTGATGTTCAAGATTTAAGATCCGGAATCAAGATCCAATAATAAAGAATCATTCCCGATGAATTAGTATATTCCGCATTTAATCATTCTCTTAGTGATTTTACTCGATGATCCTTGCAATAAATTAATTAGGTTTTCAAGTTCTTGATATTTAAATTTTTAATAAAATCTAACGGTAGAGTCTCTAGAAGTGGAAGCGATAGACTTATAAATGACATTAGTAAAAGGACTTGAAGGCGACACACTGGAATAATCGGCAGTGATGGAACCATCTGATGAAGTCCATTTTAAGCCTCCCTTGCAGCAAAACCTTGTGGGTGATCTGATCCCTCACAACTTGAAAATTAGAATGGAATTGAACAATGACATTATTATCTGCAGTCAATTTAGAAATGCTCAACAAATTTTTTATAATGTTTGAGACATGCGAAATATTTTTGAGATACAAGGGAG